TTTCTGGACTGCCGATCTTTAGATTTAAGTGGTCAGTATCTAACCAGACCAGTCACCGACCTTGTAGTCAGGGGCCTTAGAGCGTCTACGCTCTGCCCTGTCTTTCATCTGCTCTGCAGTTTTGAATAGCACCTTGCACATTTCGTCCAAGACAGACTTCATGTCTTTGGCCATGTTCCCAGCAGCGTTGTTCTTGCTTTTGCCAGGTTCTACACCCATTCTGGGGAGGTACAATCTAGTAACCTCAAATGGGGCCTTTCCTGTAGCCGACGACTGTTTGATATTATAAGAGAACTGGGCTATCTTTAGCCACTTGGCCCTATCCGTCTGTCTATCATTAATAAATATACAAAGATATTGTTTCAACTCCTGGTTAAGTCTCTCCATTTGTCCATCAGTCTGTGGATGGAACACCGTTGATAATTTAGGTTTGATGCCCAGCATCCAGCATAGTTCTTTCGTAAATTTGCTAGCGAACTGTGGTCCTCTATTGGAGATAACCGTTTCTGGTAACCCATGAATAGACCATACAAAATCTTTAAATAAATCTGCCGTACCAGCGGCAGTAATTGTTTTGTTGGTGGGTATAAACACTACTTCTTTGGAGAAGCGATCTACTACCACCATTACTGAATCATACCCATTTGACTCGGGTAGATCCGTCGTAAAGTCAACCAATATATCCTGCCAGGGACCAGCTGGTATCGGATTTGGCATAAGTTTACCAGCCGGCGGTTGATGAGCATTTTTAGCCATGGCACATCTTAGACAGGATTTTACGTATTCCTGTACGTCTTTGACCATGCCAGGCCACATGTAGTTTCTGGAGATCAACTCCATTGTTCGTTGCCACCCAGGGTGCCCAGCCACTGGAGTGTCATGATGTCTATCTATTGCCTTGATCCTTACAGACTCAGGCACATAGATTTTATCTTTAAAATGAAAGAGCTTGTCTTTCCATAAATAGTTTTTATTGCCATCAAGGTGTGCCTTCTCTTCTGAGGAGATGTCTTTCTTGAAGACTTCCAGAAGATTGGAATCTTGCCCGATTCTAACATTGGCAACCCTTGATTGATTTATCAAGGTAACACCTTTGTTATCATCTTCAATACCATTGGCATGATCTTCTCTTCTGGATAAAGCGTCCGCTTTCCCCATAGAGCTTCTGGGCTTATGAATTAATTTATAATTAAACCTTAACAAGTATACCATGTAGCGGGCCTGTCTTCAGTTTAGGTCTCGGTGTCATGCACCAAAATTGATTGGTAGCATGGACAGGTGTCAAGGATGAAGCAAATATTCAAAAAGACTCGCCTTTGCGCCACACAGGCACAGTGCCACGTGGAATAGTAATGAATATTGCCTTTTTTGAATCTGTGGCTGATCAGCACCACCTCTATTAGGCAATTCAGTCACGCTCACCTTTGCTTTTCCATTCGGTACTTTCCGCATTTTGGCATTTTGACAAATTTTTGCGTCGCCACTGGCTACGCATTGCATTGCGCCCTCGCTTTTGTCATTTCCTTCACTCCCCTTCCTTTTCTTAGCCCCACCACAGGCCCCTTCCTCTCCTTTTTATTCTCACCTGACGGCCATTTCTGGATCCCCATTTTAGTTCACCTACTCGTCACCTCCACCCTCCTCCTCCTCATCTTCTTTGCTCCCCCACCATTTCTGATGTCACCACTTCCTATCCGCTTCCGTCGCTGATCCGTCAACTACCACGTGCCACTGCTAATATCAGCAAAGCCCCAGCGGCCGGTCCAAATAGGGCAACAGGTCCATCTTCATGACGTTGATCTGCCATCATATATCATCAAAACATTGGTCGCTTGTCTTGCCTGGTTGGAGCGTGGGTGGGTAGTTTTTGAGCTGGAGAAGGTTCATCCCCTTGCGTTGCCCATGTTTGTTTCTGTCCCATTCCCCTTGCGTTGCCCATGTTTGTTTCTGTCCCATTCACTTGGGTAAAGCCATGGAACTGTCAGATTTGGACTAGGTGGTGGACCGGTGGCTCCAGTTTCTTTTTTTTTCAGCAGAACATTCATTTACAGTGCGATTATTTTGATTTTTGAATCATTTTATGGACACATATTTTTTTTTAGAATGTCTGACTGACAATAAAGGAACTGTGTTGATACTGATATTTTTTTTCTTTATACTCTTTTTACTGCATCTTCTTATGACATCACAATTTTTTTGCTCTTTTTCTCTTATTGGACTTTATTCTTATGGCTTTACAAACCTGTACCATTACTTACATAGCATTCATTGTTCTATCTCTTTCTTTCCCTTATTTTGATGATCTTATCCTGTACCAACTACGCAGGATTTGTCAGCATACATTCCTTCCTTCATGTTCTTTCTCATTCTTTTTGCGCAGCTATACTGTGCATAGCCTACCTTTCTTTTCACTATATAAACCCCTGTATTTTACCTTGTAAAAACAACAAAGCACTTGATTCCAGACTTCTTCTCCAATCTTAAGTTCACTTCTTACTTCTACTTGTGATCCAGTGTGGTCACAACAGTTCCCTCTGCTACTACTGTTAACTGCTGTCATCGTCACTCGTCACTTTTAAAGTCTTTATCATCCTTTTTGATTAGAGTCCTTCTGAGCACTACAGTTTGTGCATCAGGAGCCTGCTATCACTGGGAACCTCGTCACCTCGTCATTCTTGTCATTCTCAAACCTACCTTGTGCTACAATTAGCAAGGTAGTGCTCATCTATACTCGTTACTAAGCCCCTATCATCTATAAATTCAACTATCCCTCCTTCTCAAAACCCACACCCATACATCTCTGGGTTTTACTTTGAAGGATCTTCATACATACCACCCCACAAACAACCAGAGCACCCACTGTTTTAGGAGGCAAAGCCCATAAACAAGTTCCATGGAATCTGGGAGGATTGTTTGTTAGTTTGTTTTTGTGTGTGGTTTTCTAACAACATTTCTCATCATCGACATTGGGCCGTCATAAAGTACTCCAGGTTCTTATGATCGGTCCAAATTTCAAATTGGTGCCTAGCACCTTCTAAGTAGTGCCGCCAGTGCTCTAAAGCTCTAATGATGGCCAGCATCTCTTTGTTGTATATTTGATAGTTGCGCTCTGTAGGCGACAAACTATGCAATCAATAAGCACAAGGCCTCCAAAGATTGTCAGGGCATTTAATAGACAAAACAGCCTCAGTAGCAAAATCAGAAGAGTCGGTTTCTAGCCAAAACTCTTTGTCTAATTCTGGAAATGCTAACATGGGCGCTGTTGTGAATGCCTGTTTAAGCTTACCAAAAGCTTCTTGTTCTTTGGCGCCCCAATGCCAAACAATATCCTTTTTAGTGAGATTGTTCAACGGACTCGTGATTTTTGCAAAGTTTTCAATAAACCTTCGGTAGAAATTGCCTAAGCCAAGGAAGGCCCTAACTCCTTTGACGCGAGTAGGTTCTGGCCAATCCAATATAGCTTGAACTTTCTCAGGGTCTATCCTGATTCCGTTCTGGCCTATGATCATACTGAGGAAGTCTACTTTCTCCACTCTAAAATTACATTTTTTGGGTTTGACAAATAGGTCCCGTTCATGTAAGCGTCGAAGGATTTCTTGCACGATCCTGTCATGCTCAGCCTCATCGTCCGACTTTGTAAATATTAATAAATTGTCAATGTAAATGATGACACAGTTCTCCATATCCGCAAAAATCTCGTTCATTATGCTCTGGAAGGTTGCCGGTGAGTTGGTCAACCCAAAGAACATAATAAGGGGTTTGAAGGATCCTTGGGGGCACGTGAATGTGGCCTTCCAAGCATCTTCTTCTTTGATGCGTACATTATTGTACCCCCATCTGAGATCCATTTTTGTAAAGATCTTGGCACCAGCCAACTTGTCTACTAGCTGACTGATCAAAGGCAGTGGATACGCATTTTTAACCATCTGCTCATTCACGTAACAATAGTCCATAATCATACGCTTCTTTCCATCCTTTTTAGGAATGAATAACACCGGGGACGTCATAGGGCGTTTGGAAGGTCTGATGTAACCCTTCCTAAGCTGCTCATCTATGAAACTAGAAACCTCATCTCTTTCTGGAGCAGAGAGTGGTATCATGTGTCCTTTTCTTGGTTTGAAGGTGTCTTCAAATCTATAGCATGGTCCCAAGGCTTAGCCTCTGGGAAGCGCTCTGATTTATGTTTAGAAAAGACTTTCCAGAAGTCATGGTACTCGGGAGGTACCAGCCTCTTAATCTCTTCCTCAGGTTTTACCTCATCATTGTCATTGTCAATCTTTTCTAAAGATCTGAGCTCATAAACGTGACCTGTGTTTATCTTTTTAAGACGCTCATCGTGATGGATGTGATTCGGCTTACCCAAGTTCACACATTCCTGAGGGCAACATGACAATGTGACAACCCCTGTCTGCCAGTCAATCTCAGGATTGTGTTTAAATAGCCAGGTCCAGCCCAAGATTAAATTAATCTTCCCTAGTTGAGTAGCTTTGGCAGTGACTCATTCTCTGTGTCCTTGTTATTTGACAACAAAGGAACATTTGTGTGTGATGCAGCCATCTGCGTTGAGCGTACCGTCAACGTTATAGACGGGAATAGATACATCTAATTTTACAAGGGGGAGTCCAATCTGCTCAGCCCAGATCTGATCTATGAAGATTCCGTTAGTGCCTGAATCAAGCAGTGTGCTTGTTGGGTGTACTATGCCCTGGGCAAGGTTTTCTACACCAACGTCTAAACGGATCTCCTTTTGGAATAAATATGTGCACATCAACACACGCCTTGGGATTTTGGGGAAGGGTGGCTCCAAAGAAGAAGAAGTATCAAAAGAAACATGTTTTTCTATTTTATTTTTACCAGAATCAAGCACCCTAGTGTTTGTCTTGCCGGGGTCACGCTCCAAGGGAGATGCTGGTGCAGCGGTAGTGTCATAAATATTACAGTCACAATGCTTCATACAAGTACAAGTTTCAGATAACAAATTTAGAAATTTATTTACAAACTGGGGAGCCACCCCCGTCTTTCCTTTATTGCTCGTGCAACACCCTGGAGCAGGGGCCACCTTGTTGTGGTTTACTTCATTGTTTTGAGGAGCAAAGGCACCCGAGTGACCTAAGCTCTGAACTCTTTTCCCTGAGCCTTCATCTCAGCAACCTGTTGGTCATAGAGGAAAGCTTGGATTTTGTTGTACGAACAACCGGCCAAAGAGTTGAGCCGATTGTCCGGTTTTTCTGTTTCTAATTGGCGCGCCTGGTGCCCTTGGTTATTTTTTTGTTGGGTGGCCTGCACCTCGTTTCTACAATCTCGGGACATGTGTCCCTCTTGGCCACAGTTGTAACAGTTGCCCTTGAATCTGCGCATCTGTCCGCCTTGGACCGCGCCCATATCCATAGGAGCACCCTGCCCTGGCTGCAGCCCAAATGGCTTGAACCCGTGAGAGTGATTTTGTTTTTGGTTTGATGACCCAGGGCGCCTCTGGGATGAGTTGTTTTTGATGGTGGACCTGCCACCTTGGTGCATAGCGTAGAGCTCCATGGCTCTACCGACTTGTCGTACTTCCTCAGCTGCCAGGGCCAAGTTATTGCTTCTTGTATCCTGCAAGTAGATTTGCTCTGCAATGCGGGGGTTCACATTGCGCTGTCATGCACCAAAATTGATTGGTAGCATGGACAGGTGTCAATAACAAAGCGAATATTCGAAAAGACTCGCCTTTGCGCCACACAGGCACAGTGCCACGTGGAATAGTAATTAATATTGCCTGTTTCGAACTTGTGGCTGATCAGCACCACCTCTATTAGGCAATTCAGTCACGCTCACCTTTGCTTTTCCATTCGGTACTTTCCGCATTTTGGCATTTTGACAAATTTTTGCGTCGCCACTGGCTACGCATTGCATTGCGCCCTCGCTTTTGTCATTTCCTTCACTCCCCTTCCTTTTCTTAGCCCCACCATGGCCCCTTCCTCTCCTTTTTATTCTCACCTGACGGCCATTTCTGGATCCCCATTTTAGTTCACCTACTCGTCACCTCCACCCTCCTCCTCCTCATCTTCTTTGCTCCCCCACCATTTCTGATGTCACCACTTCCTATCCGCTTCCGTCGCTGATCCGTCAACTACCACGTGCCACTGCTAATATCAGCAAAGCCCCAGCGGCCGGTCCAAATAGGGCAACAGGTCCATCTTCATGACGTTGATCTGCCATCATATATCATCAAAACATTGGTCGCTTGTCTTGCCTGGTTGGAGCGTGGGTGGGTAGTTTTTGAGCTGGGGAAGGTTCATCCCCTTGCGTCGCCCATGTTCATCGCTGTCCCATTCACTTGGGTACACTTATCTTTTGTCCATCGTCTTCGCTACAGCTACACCTACCACACACTGCCTGGGACTCACTTGTTCCAAATTGGAACTACTCCTCTCCCTCCCTCGTTTGATCAGGTGGTCCAACACAACCAGTCCATTGGTAAGGCCATGGAACTGTCAGATTTGGACTAGGTGGTGGACCGGTGGCTCCAGTTTCTTTTTTTTCAGCAGAACATTCATTTACAGTGCAATTATTTTTGATTTTTGAATCATTTTTATGGACACATATTTTTTTAGAATGCCTGACTGACAATAAAGGAACTGTGTTGATACTGATAGTGTTTTTCCTTGCCCTTTTTTTACTGCATCTTCCCATGACATCATGATTTTCTTGCTCTCTTTTTGCTATTGGACTTTACTTTATGGCTGTACAAACCTGTGACATTACTCACAGCATTCATTGTTCTATCTCTTTCTTTCCCTTATTTTGATGATCTTATCCTGTAGCAACTATGCAGGATTTGTCAGCGTACATTCCTTCCTTCATGTTCTTTCTCATTCTTTTTGCGCAGCTATACTGTGCATAGCCTACCTTTCTTTTCACTATATAAACCCCTGTATTTTACCTTGTAAAAAAAACAAGAAATCCAATCCAGACTTCTTCTCTACTCTCAAGTTCACCACTCTGCTACTTGTGATCCAGTGTGGTCACAACACTTCCCACTTCTACCACTGTTAACTGCTGTCATTGTCACTTCCCACTTTTGAAGTCATTGTTATCCCTTTTGATTAGAGTCCTTCTGAGCACTACAGTTTGTGTGTCAGGAGCCTGCTATCACTGGGAACCTCGTCACCTCTTCATCCTTGTCGTTCTCAAACTACCTTGTGCTACAATTAGCAAGGTAGTGCTTGTCTATACTCGCCACAACGCCCCCTATCTTTCTATATTCCAACTATCCCTCCTCCTCAAAACCCACACCCATACATCTCTGGGTTTTACTTTGAAGGATCTTTATACGTACCACCCCACAAACAACCAGACCACTCCACTGTTCTAGGAGGCAAAGCCCATAAACAAGTTCCGTGGAATCTGGGAGGATTGTGTGTTAGTTTATTTTGTGTGTGGTTTTCTAACAGCAGTTCTCATCATCGACAGCGCTCCAGCAGTTCTACTGCATGTTCATTGCCCAGCCCTCCTTAGATGGAGAGGGCCAGGAACCTGGTAACGTAATTGTCCATCCTCATGTTTCCTTGTTTGAAGGATCAGATTTGTTGGCAAGCCCAGTTACACTCAGCCTGTGGTTTGAAATATTTTTTGATCTCAATCTTGAGATCATCCCAGGTGGGCCACACACCCGCGGTGTAGCACTCCTGAAGTCTTACTTGGGCGTATCAACCTGCCACAGGTCCCTTTAGTCGGGATAGCACCGCGGTGGCTACCTCAAAGTTGTCAGCAAACGCATCCCAGTTTGCCTTAACCCAAATTTGGAGCTTGATCCACCATTCAGCAAATTGCGCTCTGTCTCCCCCGAAGGTGCCAGGGTCAGCAACAACTTCGACTTTCTTGTTGAATTTCTTTTCTACCGAGGGGTTTGCCGTAGGGGGATTTGCCTGCAGCTCGGCGAGTTGCATGGTCAATGCCAGGATCTGTGCACGCATGTTGTGCAACAGAGCATTAACATCTTCTTGAGGTTGCGACAACATGTCGACTTGATCTCTTTGTAAAGTATAAAAATTGTAACTGGGGGTCCCCGCTTGCTATCTGCGGATCAACCTCTTCCTAGCTGAGTATCGGGTCTCAATCCCCAACTACTCACACTACAGTATTTGAAATTGTATATAAAAGTTATAGTATTAAACCCTGGTCCAAACGGTTGTCAGGGGATGGTCCACTTGTTAAGCTGTCAAACCTTCTCCAGAGTGGCGGAGGCAAGTGCCCGGCCTGGTCAGAGGAAAGAGAAAGTGAAGTTTTGTATGTAAATTCTAATCAATAGCGGTTCCACACCGACTGCTGAGCTATAGTACTCCCCTTAACGCTGGGGGCCGCATATTGAAGGTATTGTTTCTTCTCCCAAAGCACTACAAGGCCGTCACAAAGAGCGCACCTATCTGCTATACGGGATATTCCCAAACAATAGCCAAATCTCCTTCACCCTGGAGTCCAGGTGCCCAGTGGGACTTTTTGCACAAACGTGCGAGAGAGTAGCAAGAGCGAGTCCTAATATAACAACCAAGAGTGACTTACTCTGGCGCACACAAAAACACACTATAAAGAAGATGATGGGAGTGGTTACCCCTTAAGCTGCAGAGAGTTTGTTGGTATACAACAGGAGGACTCACTGAGGAGTCTCCTGGATCTATTGGGTATATATACTACTACAGGGTTGTTTGTACATGTGTACTATACACTTGATAGAGACAGTGGCTGATGATGTCATGGGGCCTAGCCCGCATGGCCAGCTCCACTGAGTGAGAGAGTTGTGTCTAAAATAAGATGAAAGGCAATGTGGCGCAAGAAAGAGGAGTTTGGACAAAAGGGGAAGTGCCGTGTGGCACCATGTGTGAAAGCTAAAGTACAAGGTTAAAGCGGAGAATGAAAATAAAGGAAAGGTCCAAAAATTGTGTTATTGTAACACTAACCAACTGAGCTACCAGCCCTTAGATATCAATGCTCATTTGCACAGTGTTATCTAACAAGGCCCAGGCTTTAACATTAACAATTCCAACACACCACCCCCTCCACAAAGGCATCAGGACAGCACCACCCCTTGAAAGAAGCACTGCAGAGCATATAAAATATTTATTGAGCAAACTGTCTTATCTGGCTCCTCTGGCAAAAAAAGAGGATGATATGGGCAAAATATATGTGAAGTTGACATGCCAAAGTGTATGTAAATTCAGCTTGCAAGAACTTATGTTGCTGATAATTCAGTAGGAGAAGGCACATATCACAAGAGACAGTTATAGAGTGACTTACAGTATGGTAATTTTGTTTTCCTCACAACTACAATTAATACACTTCCCAATGGTGGGCCCTTCAGGGGCATGGGAATCATATTTGCACTTATTGAAGATGGAAGTTCTCACTGATGATTTAAGTTCTGTAATGGTAATGTGTCACAAAAATGTACTACTCTTCCTAGCATCCATATCTATGCAATACTGTTAAGATAACTC